CTGCATACGTATTTAAATTAAAGGATACGCATTTAAATAAGCATGGATGTGCATTCTAGATGTATTAGAGGAGTTTTACCACACCACATTTAGTATTAATTATGTAAAACGATTGTAGTCCGACGTGAGGGAGGGGGGTGGGGAGAGAGAGTCTTTTGGAAGCTTTTTTCACTTTGATTTCTTTCCTTCCTTCTTTCCTTTCTCCCAAAGAAAAAAAAATTTCGTGTGATTTTTTTTTTTCTTCAATTTTTTCTATCGTTTATTCGATGATATTCCAAAAAAAAAAAACTCATTGAAATATTTATTTCCTAAGACGAGTAATTTTCTTTCTTAGTTTTTTTTTTTCTTCCTCCTCCCCTTCTTCGAAGACTTCTCCCCCAAACGCCTCCCTTGAGAGAAACCGCGGTGGGGATTTTCATCGTTCACGATCCATTATCACCTTCATCGCCGTTTTTATTTATCTCGTATGTGTTTTACGCAATTTATCGACGACGAACAATTACTAAATGAAGTAGATGTATATATATATATATACATATAATATATATAATATATATATATATTATACACGTAATATAATATATATTATAATATATGTATATATATATATATATTTATATATATATATATATAATTTGTTAAGACGGAGGAGGACGAAGAGCAAACATATTGTCATTATTTTATCGACGTCGTATTATTTATATCGGAGGAGTACCACAGTATATACAATAATTAATAAAAAAAAAAAGATCGACTAGTGTATTTCGAACCCGACTGACAACAATTAAAGAATTTAATTGCGCTGAAACCAAGTTGCCCTACGTTTTTTTACTATCCCATATAAAAAGAAGATAATTCCATCATCGAAACGCAGATACCGAGGAAAAAGAGGATGAAAATATTTTTCTCTCTACCCATTCGTTTTTTTATTTTTCCCGAGAAATTTCAAGCAGATTGTCAATTTGCAATCTACTCTGCCAATTACGACAAGCCTTTTTTTGCGCGTCCTTCGAAACCCATTCTATTATTATTTTTCGTTTCTTTAATCCTTGAAATCTTTGAACTTAAACTAAAGAATCGTAGATAAATTTGTTGGAAAATATTTTTTGGAGGGGGGAGTGGTGTAAAAAAATTGATTCGAGTTAAAGAAACTGGGGACAAGCGATAAAGGTTGGCTCGATGATCGTATTTCAACGAGGAAATTCTCACGGCTCGGTGACCACGAGCCACCTGCTCCCACAGCGATAAGAAACCACCAGTGGCGCACACAGAGGGCGTCCTCCACGCGTATCCTTTCTCCCTCCTTTCTCCTCCTCTTTTTATATTCAATTACACTCTGTAAAATGGAAATAGGGAGAATATCCATTTTGCGGCTTATCAATTCCCCCCCTCTCTCCCTCTCCTCCCTAGCTATTTGTCGAAGCTCAAGTTTTCCCCTCTCCTTTTTCCACTCGTTCCTTTCCAGGTCAGTTTGCTTTTTTTCCCCCCTCTAGCTGATTTGAGAAAATTGAAATTAAAAAGTCGATGATTTTCATCGATCCTTTCCTTCCCCCCCTTTTTTTTTTATTCATCTCGTTGAGAGAAATTGGACGAGAAATTGTTTCGACTTTCCACGATGGAGTTTCGAGGTGGATCTCGTTTTCAATCAATTCCGGCTGTACAGCCCGGATTCTTGTTCATTTCACACCCCCGTGCTCGCATCATCCCCCGTGATGCGCAACCGTGTCCTTTTTTCCCCCCTGTGGAACCTCGCGCGAAAGGATCCCGTGGCACAGTTGCGCGCCGACTTCGACCAGCACTGCTCGACGATCCATCCCTGCGACAAGATTAATATTTGAAAAGGAAAATCGAGTAGTAAACGAGTGAACGAGAATATTCGAGAATCGTTCCCTTCCAATCCTCGCGTCGCGTTTTCCAACGATTCCAATTCCGAGATAAAAAAATTTCTCGAGAGAGAGAGAGAGAGAGAGAGAGAGAGAAGAGAGAAGAGGCTATCGCCATGATCGACGTGAACGGCAACAGAGTGATGGGCAGAAACGACAACACCGCTTGCAAAAAGTCGCTTGAGCTCGCGAGAAAGGAGCTGCGCTCGATAATCGGGAGGATCGAGGGAACGGCCAGCCTTACCGACCGTTCCCTAACATTGCTTCGAGCGCGACGCCTCCTCGGACGATCCTCGAACGGGGCAAGGCGGCGGCTCATCCCGAGCGGCAGACACCTGTGGATCCTCGCGATCCTCGCCTCGATCCTGGCGCAATTGGCGTGGAATTACGGCCGCGCAGCTCATCACCACAAGGTGAGCAACGCTCAGATCAAATTTAAACCACTTTGCAGCATATTTGTATATTCAACCGATGTTACCAACCGAGCAACAAAAGTCCCTAGAAACTATATTATACTTCAATCATATTTACTAATGCAAATATGCAATGTGTAACAATGAAATGTGGGATGCCCACAGTGTATGCCCTTTCCTTTTTCAAAAAGTATATATATTCTCTTGTTAAATTGGTGGAATTGAAATTTTTCAAGTGTTTGGCGGAGATGCCGCCGTTCACGCAGAAAATATTCCGCCCGGCCGAGGATTGCTCGATCTGCAGGGACGTTCAACAGGTCGACAGGATATCCAATGTGGATCCTTCCACTTTCGAGGAACGGTACTATTATTATTAATACTCGGATCCTTCCCTTCCAAACGAGTTTTCATCAAATTCTAACCTCCTTATTTTTCTCTATCCTATGTTTCTTTCTTTCTTTCTTTCTTTCTTTGGGGGGGGGGGATAGATACGCGTACTCGGGAAGGCCGGTGGTGGTGATGGACGCGACGATTAATTGGACGGCGACGAAGGTGTTCTCGTTCCCGTTCTTCAAGTCGTTGTACGACGGCGTGGACGCGGATTGCCAATTTTTCCCGTACAGAACCGAGTTCAAGAGTCTTCAGGACGTGCTCGACATGGGCACCGATCGATCCCTGTTGGAGAGGGGGACGGAGCCGTGGTACGTGGGCTGGTGAGTGTGTTTCGAACGAAGAAGGATTCCGTTTCGAGATAACGAATTCTCGATCGCGTTTTTCGACTGAAAAACAGAAAAGAAAAAAAAGAAAAAAGAAAAAAATAAAGAACGCCGACTGCCCATGAACGCGGCAGTTTTGGAGCTTCGACAACCGTTCTAAAACTCGCACGTATGCGCACAATCCGGCTAACGAGCTTACCAACGAGCTATATATATATATATATATATATATATATATATTGTGTATTCATTGAAACAATTACCTAGAATCTCGTATTCTATCTGTCTATCTGCGTTGCTACCTTTTTTTTTTTTTTTAATACGAACTCGAACTCGTCTTTCCCCAATTAATCGTAATTTCAGATCAATTATCGAATTATTCATAAATTCGAATTCGTGTCTATGCATTGCTATTTTTTTTTTTATTTTTCCCATTTTAATGAAAATTCGAATTTCGTTCGTCCATTATATTTTATTTTTCTTAATTGTAGAGATTAATCGTAATTTCAGATCGATGGTCGAATTATTCAGAAATTTCAGTGTAATTTTTCTTTTCCTCTCCTCTTCGTAATTTCGATTCGGATTTCAGTTACGTTAAACTAAATTGTGAAATTTGCAGGAGCAATTGCGACGAGGAAATCGGCAGTTTGCTGAGGCAACATTATCAGAGGCCTTACTTCCTTCCGGTCACAGCTGAGACGGAGAAGACCGATTGGATCTTTATGGGGAGCCATGGATATGGGGCCCCTATGCACGTGGGTGGTGGCCACGCGTGTCTCGCGCATATCGAGCTTTATCGATGCATTTTTCCATTCCCTCCTTCCTTCAGGTCGACGACGTGGAACACCCCTCGTGGCAGGCGCAGATCAAGGGTGAGAAATTGTGGATCCTCGACCCGCCCAGGGAGTGTCATTACGCCTGCAACAGATTGGAGGTGGTGGTGCATCCCGGTGAAATAAGTGAGGAATATGTTTAAATAAGTCGATATATATATATATATATATATATATATATATTCGTGTATTCATTGAAACAATTACCTAGAATCTCGTATTCTATCTGTCTATCTGCGTTGCTACCTTTTTTTTTTTTTAATACGAACTCGAACTCGTCTTTCCCCAATTAATCGTAATTTCAGATCAATTATCGAATTATTCATAAATTCGAATTCGTGTCTATGCATTGCTATTTTTTTTTTTATTTTTCCCATTTTAATGAAAATTCGAATTTCGTTCGTCCATTATATTTTATTTTTCTTAATTGTAGAGATTAATCGTAATTTCAGATCGATGGTCGAATTATTCAGAAATTTCAGTGTAATTTTTCTTTTCCTCTCCTCTTCGTAATTTCGATTCGGATTTCAGTTACGTTAAACTAAATTGTGAAATTTGCAGGAGCAATTGCGACGAGGAAATCGGCAGTTTGCTGAGGCAACATTATCAGAGGCCTTACTTCCTTCCGGTCACAGCTGAGACGGAGAAGACCGATTGGATCTTTATGGGGAGCCATGGATATGGGGCCCCTATGCACGTGGGTGGTGGCCACGCGTGTCTCGCGCATATCGAGCTTTATCGATGCATTTTTCCATTCCCTCCTTCCTTCAGGTCGACGACGTGGAACACCCCTCGTGGCAGGCGCAGATCAAGGGTGAGAAATTGTGGATCCTCGACCCGCCCAGGGAGTGTCATTACGCCTGCAACAGATTGGAGGTGGTGGTGCATCCCGGTGAAATAAGTGAGGAATATGTTTAAATAAGTCGAACCTCGTCGAATCGAGAAGGATTTTCCTTAATTCTCAATTTGTTGCGCGAACAGTCGTCCTCGACACGAACCGCTGGTACCATCAGACGGTAATCGTGTCCGAAGAGATGAGCATCACCATTGGCGCGGAGTACGATTGAAGCGGCAATACGATCGTGCCACGTCTCCTCGCAACGGATCGATAATAAAGATATTTTCCCTTCGACTTTCATCGACACCTCCAATTGCAATTTCCATCCAATCCTGCGATCAATTCCAATTAATACTCTCGTTTACCCGCAACTCGCCATTGGAAAGAAGCGCTTTCGACTGTATCTAAACCTTTGACGCATCAGTATTGCAGAACTCTGACGTATCGACGCGACGCAAAAATTATCTCGTTCCTTCTTCTTGATGCACACCGATTACAGTTCGCTTACGACAATATAATACGAATTTAATTCGTCGGAATTACATTTCGCATTCGGGCTGGACAGCTTCATAAATGAAAACTCGATCATTTTTCGAACATTCGCATTGTTCAGCAGCGTGGAAGGAATATTCGAATAACATGACACGACCTTTACGACCAATCCGTATTAATCCGTGATAATAACGAACCGAGGATTCCACCACCGAGGCGGGCAGTTGATCGGTTTCCTCCTCGAGAGGGGAGGGCCGTTGTTGGAACACGCGCCGGGTAACGCACGATCGTGTGGGCTCGAGGAGGGGGGAGCGGCCATTAGGGAACCCCCGCGGCAGCCACCACCTGCCGCCAGGTGCGAGTTGACGGGACATCTGCGCGTTGAGGGGCCCGTGCCGTCCGTCCCGTTTCCTTTCCTCGCCAATTCATGGGGGCGAGCACCGAACATTAGGTGTCTATCTGGAGGCCCGGCTTATTATCGTGACGGTCGGTAATTGGTCCAAGCTGGCGATCCAATTGGCTCTTCGAGGGGACAAACGTTTTTTCGACAGATAAAAAATCGAATTCGATTCTCTTATTGATTGGATTAATTGAGAAATTGGCGTCGTTACGAATTTTTTGGATAAGAAAACTGTTTTTTTTTTCTTTTTTTTTTAATCGAAATAACGAGGATGTCGTATTAATTGTAACAAAAAATTTTCAGATATTGATTTATCGGCGAAAAAGAGCTCGATTCGCTTTATTTATATATACGCTATTCTTTGTACCGTGGTTTGAATAGCTTGTAGCCTTTGCGTGGGTGGATTACGTAATTCGTGTGTATTACGTAGAATTTCTAGTCGAAGTAACGAGGTTAATATTGAGATCATCTGATATTGGAAAGCGACGCCAACGCTCATGTTACGGAAAGGAAAATCTTTCCAATCGAGAGAGAAAGAGAGAGAGAGAGAGAGAGAGAGAGAGAGAGATATTAAATTAATATCATATATGCAACGAAAAATAGGAAAGATGACGAGTCAGAGGGCGACTCCTGTTCAACTAGGACAGGAGAATGGGCGGATAGGGGAGGGGGATGCATCGAAGGAGGCCCGAGGGCTTCCTGTTTCAACCTAATTACATTCCATTCGACGCAGGGGGCAGGGGCGGGGGGAGGGGGAGGGGGAGAGGCGGGTTGGACGCGCAACAAAATCTCGTTAATTCATAAAAATTCTCGGTCCGTTTCGCGGCTTTCTTTTTGCCCGCGCGAAATTAAAATCCCCGCGCGCGGCGGTCGAATAATCGATAACGTAGGAACGCGCGCGGGATTCCCTCGATCGAATTTCTCTTTTTCTCGTTTTTTTGTTCAACCGCGGCGTTGAAAAATGCGTTGCTGATTTTAAATATCTGATTTTACCTATCAGTTTCAAAAATTCCGTATTTCCATGTTTCGCGAAATGTAAAAAAAAAAAAAAAAAAAGAAAAAAATACGAAGAAGATTCGAATTTTCTTACGAATTTTCAGTCAGAACGGTAGAACGGGCAACAGGATCAAGAAGATCGTATTTAGGAAGGAGGTCGAGCCGAAGTTTTTTTAACGAGCATCGAATGAACATTGAACTCGTTCCGGAGATGAATTTTAAATGCTTCCTGGAATATCGTCTATCACTGAGCGATGGAATTTCGATTCACCGATTCCAAACAATTCCCTCTTTCCACTCCCTTCTCCTGCAAAGAAAAAATTCAACTTTCCAAAGATTAGAAAGATGCGAAGGGATAACGAATGCGCGAACGACTCGAAACGACAGGCGAGTTTGAAGAGAGATTTCTCGGTCGATAAAGAAGATCGAAGAAGTTTTCGAGGGAAACTCGTGCGTTCGCGGCACACTTTCGGCAAATTTCAATGGCCGTCGAGGGTATAGGGGCGCGATGACCACCGAGCGACGGTTGGCAGTAATGGCCTGTGCGCGCGTGTGTATGTGTGTATGCTGTGTGCGTGTGTGTGTAGCTACGACGTACGTTTCGACCCCCTTCCACGATCGCGCGCGACCTCTCTCACCCGTTTGCGGCCATGTACAAATTTCACGTTAGGTACATATGGTTTCCCTGTTCTCGCGTCTTGCTTTCTCTCTGGCCACGCCAACAACAACCAACTACACGCGCGGCTGTTCTTCGCGTCTCCCTCGGCCCGTTTCTCCCTCTTTCTCGCTCCTCCTCGCCTACGTTTCCGTCTCTCTGTCGTTCCATATACTTGCGGTCGCGCATACTTGGCGTGCATACGCGTACGTATACGTGTATGTGTGTGCGCCCGCTCGCTCGCCACTATCTCTCCCTTCCTCCTCCCTCTTTCGAGGGATATGTACGGTTTCACACAAACGCTTCACCCCGGTGGTGGTGTACAAATTTTTTCTGCCCCCTGTCTTTACGTTTTCCATGCATCTCGAATTCTTCTTTCGAAAGAATGCTTCTGCTTTCTTTTTTGTTTGTCCCTTCTTTATTATTGTTATTTTAACTTTGAGATTTTAACGCGAAGTTTAAATTTTTAAGTTTAAATGCGTTTTCTTAATTCTCTATTCTTTGTCTCTCTGTCGTAACACGTTGTAACGCGATCATGCTTTTGTTTTCTTCTCTCTCTCTCTCTCTCTCTCTCTCTCTCTGTCTCTGTCTGTCTATCTTTGTAGAAAGAGCGGGTAGAAGAGATATTACTTTCACCTTTTGCCTATTCGTTCGCATCGAACGGTGATTTCCAACCCGTGCCCCTTCGAACCCCGCCGTGTTTCCACCCCAAAGTGTTTATACATGGAAAATCTGCACGAGTTATTATTAGCCGGGTCCCCGGTTTCGAAGCGCTTCTTACACTCGCCCACGCTCTCTCCCTCTGTCTTCCTCGCTATTTTCCCCCTCGTGGCACCTCGCAGTATCTCAGTTTCGTCGTATATACGTATGTACGAGGTAAACTCTAAACTGGCATTATTTGCCCACTATATTAACGCCCTTATCTCTCTTTCAGTATGGCGGTATGCAAATTTTATGCAATACCACTTCCTCTCCGCTATCCTCACTATGACTCTATATATCCACGCTCTACGATTCTTCTCCTTCTTCTTCTTTTTTTTTTTACTTTTCGTTTTGCTCGGTCGTAAATTATCTTTCGAAAATTTCTCGATTTGTAGGAATTTATTAATATAGTAAGCTCTGTTTTTAATTTTTCGTCTAAATTTGAGAATAGTAGTAAGTAGAAGACATAAAAAGTAGAGGATTGAAAACCTACTGCCTCGTGTTTCCGCTTTCGAGAAATCTACCATACCAGAATTTCAGAAAGTTTTTTCCCCCCTCTAAGAAAAATAAAAATTACTGTTCGCTTTCGAGGAACAGGATCGCAAATACCCTATACCCGTTCCTATTCACTTCTCGCTACCAACTTTTCGTTATCAAAATCCGTCAGTGGAAATCTACCATCGAGTTTTTTTCGAATCCCTTAGAAAGATAAAAATTTATCCAACCTCGCGAAAAAGCGAGGTTTTCAAATCCCTCTTCTTTCCATTCGATTCTACCAACTTTTCCAAGAATCCTTACTCGAAAGACTACAGAATTTTCCCCTTTCAAAATCTAGTCGAGTCTGTCAAACTTGGAACAACTTTCTATTAACTCCAAATCGACCCCTTTATTAACTTTATTAACCCTCTAATTCAACGATTCTCGCCCGAATTACTTTCGCCCGAAATTGCAATTATCATTCAATTTCTCTTTTCACTTCCAAAACCTGCCTGCGCATCCAAAATCCTCTCTATTCAAACTTCAAACAGTTCCATTAATCCCAATTTTGCTCCTCGCGTTATCTATAAATTATTTTATGCGCGATCCATAATTGAACAAAAAAAAAAAAAGAAAAAAATGCACTCGAAATTCTAGTCATTCCTAGTCTTTCCCTTCGCTTCCAAATCTATCTCGCTCTCTCTCCACGAATTATTTTCCAATGAACAACAAACAAAAATTCCGACCTCTTTCAAAAAAGAAATCCCTTCTAATTTTTCTCTCTCAAAATCCCAAATTCCTCCTCTCTCCCTCCCCCTGTTATCTATATATACATATTTTCCGAACGAATCGGGTTCATCACGAACTCCCCGAACTTCCCATCCGCCCCATTCCTCTTCTCAAAATTCTACAAATCTCCCCCTCCACACCCAAACAATTCTATTAATCGGAATTAATATAACCTTCTCCCTCCTCCCCCCCCCCCTCGTTATCCCTCCGTTTCTACGATTTTCGCGCGAATTATCTTCCAACGCTACCCGTAACGGGGCGAAACCCCCTACGCCGCGTTCTCACCACCCTCCCCTCCCCCCTTCCTCTTCCTTCCCGTGTGTTTATGGCAGCACACGCGTTACGTGCTGACCCTTTCTCCCCTCCACCTTCTCCAACCGCCCTTCGTCCCTCTTCCCTCGGCCCCCGCCACTACCACCGTCCCGCGCGCACACAGCCGCGCACACGGCCGCACACACAACCGTATCCAAGTACATAAGGACGAATAGCGGCTGCGTGTGCGCGCGTGTATATGCACCGTATGTACTCTAGGCGCCGTGCATACATAGGCCGCCTGTTCTCGGTACATACATATCGGTCGCGCTATCGATTATTTTACCCGTGTGGAACTTTCCCCTATACCACTGTCGCCCCACTCGGCGTCGCGACGCCCGGTATAGAGCGCGATATCGACGTTACATCGCTGCCCGCCCCTCCGCGCGCACCTATCCCACCAAACGGCCAGGCCTCAGGGCCGGCGAAACGGGGCGCGGCACCCCCTTTCTCATCGACCATATGGATTTTTCTCCCGACAATCGTTCAACCTC